CAAGGAATGACGGCTTCATCTTGCGGAAGGAGCCTGTTTCGGGGCGGTTAAATTGAATGAGGCTAGACTACCGACGGAGGCGATCAGGGAAAACAGACAACTTGTACATTTGCTTCTCCCGATGTGGCGACCGCGGTCAACCTGATGAAGCATAATTGCATGGCCATTTTTTCTCTCCATGTTACAGCATTTTCGGGCTCATGGCCCCCTAAATAAGGCTCAGATTTAAGTACTATCCTACGCCATGTTTGTGTGTGCGACTATAGCCACGGCAACAAAGAGGATAGGCCGCGATAATGCGGTCCGATTTAAAGATACATTTGTACATGTAGCCATAGCCCAACCTGATGTACAGCCCCCATCATCAAAACAGGCCACTGTTGATGAGACCTCATGGGCCAGTCAGACTAATTGTGCGCTTTTATGTGAAGCTCAGTGCAACGAAGGCAATATAAGCCTGGCTCATCTGCTGTCGTCCCCATACTCCGCTTAATGATAACATTTCTAATGTGTCTGCACACCCACATTCTGCCATTGCAGACCCCGAAAATGGGCAATCGGTGTTTTGCGTCTGGCGCCTGACCACTGCTGCGTGAGGGTGGAGGCTGGGGCCGGCGAGATGGTACGGGGAATCACCCATCGCCGGCGGAATCCCGCCATTTAAGGCTGTCCTCACTGCCGGCAGATGAGCCTGGCTCTGGTTCAGGCTCCCCATCCCTCAGTCATGGGCAGGAGGTGGGAGGCTTGCGGTTGCAAACCGAAGATGCCCATGCCTAGAGGTTGTCAGGCGATGACCTGGCAACAAGACCATTATTCTATTATCGGCACTGACGACACCACTGCCACTCTTTGTCGGAAAAGGAACTTTGAAATGGGCTTGGAGGTACGCCATTCTGCCGGCTGGCCATACAAAGCTGATGTCTATACAACTTGTGCTTTCATCACACTATCATCCGAGACTGGACGGACACAAACGGACATAAACGTACACACACACACACACAAACACGTTCGTTAAGGTCTAAACGCACCCACTCGCTTACACGCACAAACACTTTCATTTATGTGCATATGTAATCGTCAATTCTGGTGAATTGATTCCGCTTGTGATTTGATATCGTATCAAATCGTGTTGTGCAGTGTGTATATGTGTATCCATTTTAAGGCATATGTATGAGTCTTTGTAGCTGGCCGAACCTAATAACAGGCTCTCGTGAATGCAGTTGCATGCACTTGTTGAACACAAAGACGCCTTGAAATAGCCCATTGATGATAAGTCTTTCAGCAGGTGGACCATGCGCCCTATCAACTTGTAAGCAACCTGTAGTCACATGTGTGCGTCTGTGTGTCTATGGGGCAGGGGGGAGAGCTGTAGGAGTGGGGAAGAGAGAAAGAGGCAAAGAGAACATGAGAGTGGACATGTATGCATTGTCGGCATAGAAACAAAGAGGATTGTATCCACAATATGAGAGCCCTATTAAAAAACTTCACTTTATTCAAACAAATACAATCCTAAGTAGAGAAGCAAGAGTGGTAAGCACGTTCCCTTTAATTAAGAAAGTAATTATTTTTCGCCAGTCAACATCACCCCTGGCTTTGTGCTTGTTTGCATACACACACACACACACATATACACGTAAATCCATATTTGCCTTACCTGTGGGACATGGCATATGATGCTTTTATAATCGGAGGGAATGAGGCTTCCTTGCGTTCTGTCGCCTTATGGAGCTGGCTGGTTTGTTTTACAACAAGTCTATACAGGACTCGAACAGAACTGATGAGCACATTTTCAACTCTCCTGTCGTAGAAACCAAAGAAATGTTGCTTTCAGGCAGTTGTGAATGTGAATTTTGCGAAGAATTCCTAGACGCATCGTCCACTCGTCTTTTATGTTATATACATCATTAGACTTGTACAAAAAATTCACCAAGGTGGCAGAATGAAATCATACCCACTTCTTAAAGCTCAAATTAGTCCACTTAATGAGTTGGGCAGATGTGTTGGAGAAAGTCAAAACTGAGGGCTTGGTTTCGCCTAGTTCTCGCAACATAGTCGTGTTGCCAGGGCAGAGTGGTCCCTGCCTATAGTTGTCCCCTCCTCTTTCAGGTCACTGGGTATCTTCCTATAACTTTTGCAACTATCATCTTCGGCACCAAAATTTCACTTATAGCTCGTTGCCAGGTCTGACGTTCCTCTCTGCCAACGTCCAGGAATGTAGCCAGTCAATTGTCCAAAGCAGGGAGAACACAAAATAACAGTGACAACTGGGGCAATATAGGCTACATTTCTCAAAGTCGTCATGAAGACAAGAACAAATTGTAGAAACGAAAGCAAATCACTTGTATTTTTGTATTTGTCACCAACTTGCCCTATAGAAATGCGAAGTAAAACAGGAAAAAGCATATCCGGCTCTCAAATGATGGAGAAGTATTCGAGAAACGTGATATCCACAGAGCTTTCGGCGAATGGTATGGTAACACCACCAAGTAAAATTGTCTTAAGGGATATTCCATGTTGCTCGGTAGGTCGCCTAGTTTTGTCGTCGAGTAGAGTAAAAACTTAGCTATTTGCTCAGCTGGAATAAAATGTATTGGCCTCTGTA